TTTCAGACCACGGAGCTGCTCATTGGGGGACTTTTTGGCTCTGCCCACGTGACCCAGCCAATCGGCCTCAAGAGCAGGAGGATTGTGGGAGGTGGAAAGAAGCTTGTGGGGGGAGAGACAGGCTTGTGGAAAGCCAGTGGTGGCAGTTGAGGCTCTGAGGATTTTTCCTGAGAGGCTGTTTTGTTTGGCATGTTTGGTTCTAAAAATAAAGTTAGTTTCTTTTGACAAGTGGCTTCTGATTTGAGCCAAAAGATGTTGACGGTAAATTGGGAGAAGGGCATTTTGATATCTTGTATTAATTTTGCAATGTTTTTTAAAATATAAAATGAAAAGCTAGTCAACGTGGGGGAGGAATCTCAGGTAAAGCAAAGGCTGTACCAACCCTCCTTACAACAAGCCCAGCATGGGCCCCAGAAAAAGGCACAGTTAAGAGCAAATTAAGCTCAGTCTCACTCAGGCCCTGGGCAAGCAGAGATCCGTTGGCAGAAATGCCAGACGAAGGAAGCAAAGAGAAGGACCAGAGGTGCTGGATTAACAAACCACAACAGCAAGAAGTCAGGCGAGGTCACAGGGACATCGCTCATCCTCATGAAAAATAGAAAGCACATAAACATCAAGCTGGGCCGGCTCAGGTGCTAAGCTTCCAGATTAAAAAATAGAAGACGAGAGAAAGAAAGAAATGCTGTGCTTTTTAATAAAGGAAAATCTTAAAATTTTAAAGTAGCATTAAAAAGGGAACCAAGAGGTCAGGCAAACAAAGGGTGGGGAGGGGAGAGAGAAGCACAGTCTCCTCTGCTCGTAGTTCAGGGGACAGAAATCAATCTGTGCAAACAAGCTCCCTGGAAACCAAGTGTGCCCTTGCCGAGCTCCAAGTCCTGCTTCCCACACTGTCTGCCCCAGGCTGCCTGATGGTAGCTAGCAGGGCCGAGGCTGAGTCTCCCCCAGGAGGCCATCTGGCTGGGAAATCACAAAGCCCCACCCTCTCCCAGCACCCCCACCTGCATTCTGCAGCCCCCTCTTCCACCTCTCCATTTGTTCACCCAGCAGTTGTGCATGATGGCTCTCAGAATTCTTGCAGATTCTATCTTCTAACCTTGATCCCTAGCCTGCCAATTAAGTCCCATCTCAGAACCAAGGATGCCAATGGTGAGTAATTTTAGTTACTTTCATGCGGCCAAACTTCAGCACCAGAGAGAGGGTCCCCTTCATTGTTACTACACATGAGTTCCTGGGGGAGTATAAGAAACTATTTTTCAAGTGGTCCTTGTCCTCAAGAAAATGAACAAAGAGATCAAAGTCTCCCCATACAATCCATTGGAATAAACACTTATTAATAATTAAATCTAAGTAAATGGTAAACGTGTGACTTGAAACTTTAATGCAAATGTTAGTGGATTCTGAACACATGAGAGGCAGGCTCTAAAAAAAAGTTAATAACCAAAAACTAAAATTTCCATTATTTCAACAAATCCAGAGGGACATAATCATTATTTCATTTTTATAATTGTTGTAGAAATATGTTAAATATGTATATTAAATGTTATATGGAAACACTAGAGGAATATGAATTCATATTAAAACTTCCAATTCACCAGAGGAAGGAAAAAAGGGAATTAAGAAATGTCATCAATTTAACAAATACAAGTAAAGGGAACTGAGGAAACCAATAGAAAGTGTAATAAATAGAACACACAAAATTAAATGGCAGGATTGAGACCAAACATCCTGGATACCAAATACATAGCAGAGAATTCAGTTGTGTTCTGAAAAATGAAGATCCTTAAAATGGGTTTGAAAAATAAAATTCCAATTACACACTATTTATAAGATATGAACATCAAACAATAAAGGAACTTATTTGAGAATAAACAAAGCATAGAATTGTAACCTGGGACATACAGGCCAGGTTGGCCTCTGGTATTTCTTGAGAGCAAAAGGAAGAGTCAGAATTTTATAAGGACAGAGAAAGCGATGAAGTTATTTAGAAAGAAGTTTCATTGGCACTCTGGTGTTTGTGAAATGGGGGAGCTCTGGTTGGTTAGCCGTGGCAGTTCCTAGATCCAGCTAGCCTTTGGGTCATAGTTGGCAGTTCCATCATCAGATGCTAAGCAGAAAGAGTCTCATAGACAGAGCAGGCTGTTCTGCTGGACTGGATCAATCACTGGAGCAGGTGTCCATAGCCCAAGTGTTCCCTTTCTCTCCCAGAGCCCCTCAACTCCATTTTTAGTAGGTGTGACAGAAGTAACCCCGTCTTGTATAACGAAAGTTCACAGGATGGACATTGCTGTAGACATATAGCCTGTCTCCCCCACCAGCATGCCAACTAGGAGGCACAAAATGTTGTCCCTCCTCTTTGCTGCTGTATCACCACGGGCATATAGCAGGAACTCAGGAACCTTCCATTGTAGGAATGGTCATTGGCAGCCCCTACGATGGCCCCCAAAGATCTCTCCTTCTGGAATGTACGCCTCCTTGAGTATGGGCTGATCTGAGAAACCCAGTTCTAACAATAGAACACAGCAAAAGTAATGGGATGTGACTCCAAGGTTAGGCCACAAGAAAAAACAGTGTTTGGGGAATGCTTTCAGACTCTCTCCAGTCACCGGCTGCTATGTCATAGGACACTCAGGTAGCTTAGGGAGAAGGCCCTGTGGTGAGGAGCTGCCATGAACTGAATTATGTTCCTCTAAAATTCATGCATTGAAATCCTAACACCCAATGCGACTGTATTTGGAGATATGGCCTTAAAGAGGCCAACTGAGGACAAAAGAGTGAGGCCCTAATTCAGTAGAACTTGTGCCCTTTTATGAAGTAAGTATCTTATACCAGAGATACTCAGGCCCCGAAAAAAAAAAAAAAAAGCCAAATGGGGACAAAGCAAGAAGGTGTGGTCATTAGTAAGCCCAGGAGAGGCTCAGGAGAATCTGACCCTGCTAGCACCTTGATCTTGGACTCCCAGGTCCCAGAACGGTATGTCATGAAATTCCTGTTGTTGAAGCCACCCTGTCTGTGGTATTTTGTTTGGGGAAGGGCTAGAAGACTAAAAACAGGAACCAAGGGCATGGGAATGAGCTTGCAAGTTGAACTTTGAGACTGCTGTGTCTTAGCCTCAGCTTGACTACAAGCCCATGAGAGAACCAGGGTCCAGGGGTGCCCAGCTAAGTCATGCCCAGACTCCTGACCAACAGAAACTGGGAGATAATGAAATGACTGTTGTTCTAAGCATCTAAGTTTTCATGTAATAATGCAGCCATAGGTTAACTAAATCCATGAATGAACAATTCTTTGAGTTAGGTAAAGGCAGTGTTATGTTATCCCCTATTTATAGGTGAGAAAGCTAAGCTCAAAGAGACAGTCTTGCCTAAGGTCCAAGAGCCTGGCAGACCCTTACAAGGGAGAGAAGGGGACACTGAAGATAATGCTTGGCCAACATAAGTTTTGCCTTGGGCCACCCTGCCACGCCTCTTCACTCACACACAGAACATTGCTGAAACGCCTCAGAGTGTCATCTTAATGGTCTCCTTGAGTCTTGGCTGCCAAACACAAGGGGTATTTTAACAAGGTTCACCTTGGCTTGCTTACCACATGCAGTAATGAGGCCCCTTAGACATCCCTTAAGACAACCCCCTCCCACCAAAGTGTGAGGGTCACATCAGAACAGACTCTAACATGTGGAATCTTGTCAGAAATTATAACAGCAAAGACTTGTGGGTCACTTGCTGGATTCTAGGAAATCTTTTGAGCACTTTACTATATTTATTTATTAATTTTAGGTAATTCTACTATAGTGTTCATTTTATAGATGAGAAATCTGAGGCATCAAGGATTTAACTATTTGCTGGTCACCGAGCCAGCAATTGGTAGTACCAAGATTTAAAGTCAGGTAGGTTAGCTCCAGCGTTAATGTTTTGACAAATTTCTCTCTAGGTCTTCACATTATTTAACACCCACAATATAATAGTAACTTTCTGGAAGCCTCTGAATCCCATAACCCCAATAGTTTGTTTGTTTTGAATTGTTTTTTGCTTTTATGAGTGAATTATAGTTGTACATAATAGTTGGTTTCATTTTGACATAATCATGCATGCATGAAATTTAATTTATTCCAGTTCAGTCTCTTGTGCTCCCCTTTCCCTCCCATCCTCTCTCTCTCCCATTTCCCTTCCACTACTCTAATGGTCTTACCTGCCACTCATTTTTTTTATTTTCAATTGGTACTTTGTGGATATACGTAAAGGTGGAATTCACTGTGGTATATTTTTGTATGAATTTTGTTAAATTCATTCCATATTTACTCCCCTTTCCCACCCTCCTCCTTCCCTCTCAATCTCCTTCAACTCCACTGATCTTCCCTCTATCCTTATGATATCCAACCAATTCCCCCCTTTTTCCTCCATACTTTGTTCTTGCTTTCATATATGAAAGAAAACTGACCCTTGACTTTCTGAGTTTGGCTTATTTCACTTAGCATGATGTTCTCCAGCTCCATCCATTTCCAGCAAATGCCACAATTTCATTCTTCTTTATGACTAAGTAAAACTCCATTAGGCATTTGTACCACGTTTTCTTTATCCATTTATCTATTGACAGGCACCTGGACTGACTCCATAGCTTGGCTATTGTGAATTGTGTTGCTATAAACCTTGACGTGAATGTATCACTACAGTATTCTGATTTTAGTTCTTTTGGATAAATACCAAGGAGCAGGATTGCTGGATCATGTGAAGGTTCCATTCCTAGGTTTTTGAGGAACCTCCATACTGCTTTCCACATGGTTATACTAATTTGCAGCCCTACTCGTTTTAAATATCAAAGAGAAAAATAATCACAGCACATAAAGGCCATCTTGCCATGCATGCCTCATGGAAAACCTTTTAAGGGCTCCCTGACCATGTCCTTGGTGTGGTTCATGAGGTCCCCCAGGCTCTAATTCCTGTGAAATCCCCAGCCTGAGCTCACTTCTGCATCCTCTATTCATCCAGCCAAAATTCCTCTTTGCTATGACCCAGAAATCCAGTCAGGTACCCCTCTACCTGTGCACAGGCTCTGCCCTGGAAATCGCCCTCATTCGTCTCTTCCTGCTATCAGCACTCATCCTTCAGTCTTCTGGTAAGTCTTGCCTTCACCTTCACACCAGCCAGACACCCAGCCCTGCCCCTACCATCCAAGTCCCTCTGGCCCAGTGTTCTGCTTCCCTCCCTCTCCCTCTGGACTCTGATTTCTGCAAGGACAGAAACAGCATATTTGTCTTTATATTCCCAGCAATTAGCACAGCACCTGGTACCTATTAAGTCCCAGTTTGTTGAATGAGCATTAGCCCTCCAAAGAACCAAGTGACACTTTAGTTACTCACTCTAACTGCCTCTGCTAGACAGTCCTGGGACAGAGAGCTATGCAAACATTACACTGGAAAGGGGCCCAAGAGAGATCCTGATTTAATGCAATACCTTCATAAAATGATGGGGAAAAAAAAAAGTTCGGAGAAAATAATTGACTTGCCTTATAATTAGTCAAAGGAATCATGAGCTCCTCAATGGGGCCAAGTTTCCAGGTGTCTGAGCTCCACACCCCCTGCTCTCAAAGTCATCTGTAGTAGTTTCCTATTGCTGCTCTGGCAGATTATCAGAAATCCCTTTGCTTAAAAACAACACAACTTATTATCTTACAGTTCTGGAAATCACTAGTCTTCCTAGGCTAAGATCAAGGTGCTAACAGGGCCGTATTCCATCTGGAGGCTCTGGTTTGGTCCCCTGGCCTTTCCCAGCCCCAATAGGCCACCTCTATTGCTTGATTTGTGACTCTTTCCTCCTTCAGAATCAGCAGCAGAGCATCTTCAAATCTTCCTCCTCTCTGATCTCTGCTTCTGTTACATCCTCTCTGGACTCCTTTCCCATATAATGACCCTCATAATAACCTACAAAAATCTCTTTATCTCATACTCTTTATTTAATCAAATCCACAAAACCCAGTTGCTACGTGAAGTAAAATATTTACAGGTGCTGGAGATTAGGATGTGAGCATCTCTGCTTCCTCAAAGACGAGGAAGCAGAGATGAAGAAGCAGAGATGCTGTCGACCACAGCATCTTCACCTTCCTGATGTAAAAGTACTCGTGCTCTGACAACATCCTCTATGGTGGGATGGCAAAGGAAAAAAATTCAACAATGTTCAAATATATTTTGTTCTCTTTTTTCATGCCTACATATCTAGTTTCAAAGAACTAGTGGGAGAAATCATTCCCAATATATCCATATGAAATATAATATTATGCACTAATAACCATAGTATACTCCTCTGTAATGTTTGTCTCAGGCATGCATTCCTAATATTTTAATCCTCATGACTGATTTCAAGGAGCATAAGGAAAATCAAATTTTCAAAGAGAAGGAGTGGGAGGAAAAGTTGGTGAGCATCACCATATGCCATCCACTCTGGGTCTTACTTAATTTAAGCCTCACAATAGCCTTCTGAGCTGACTCTATCACCTCCCACTTATAGATGAAGAAACTGACTCTTAGATGAGGAAATTTATCATCTAGCTCATAGAGCCAGGGAGTGGCAAAAATGGGTTGGAAACTCAGATGCATTTGGTTCTGGAATTCATGCTCTCTCCATTAGATCTTATTTCCCCCAGAAAGTTCAACTTACTTTTCAACAGCCTAATTTATTGCCTGATGCAGAGAGAGAGATGGGGAGAGGGAGAAAAAGAGAGACAGAGAAAGAGAGAAACCATTAGAATGGTCTAATAATAATTTGGTTGGAAACTTCCATGAGCAAGCAAGTTTGGGGAAAACCCTTAGCAAGGCAGTATGGCTGCCTTCTACCAAAATCATCAGTGGGGTCCAGGAGATTGCTGGTTGCTAGGCAACTTCTCTCTGACCACACTCCATATCAATCTAATTAGCAGATTTCACCTGAGTTCCAACAGTTGCTAGGTAACTCTCAAAAAGTTGCTAGGTAACTCTCAAAAAAATAAATAAATAAATGAAAGAGGCTGGGGCCTTTCCCCCTCCCTTTCAAGCCAATGCTGATCCCAAAGGATAAGGAGGGGGTGTTTGTAAAAACTCTACTGAAGATGTGTCTAAAATCCCCCTTGTGATTTCACTATATCTACCAAAAGTAAACAAAACCAGGAAATATAATTCAGGCAATGGCATTTCAAAAAAGAATCCCATGAGGCAGGGAATTGATTATTTAAGAACAAGAGAGTTACGGGACAAGAATAGGCCAGAGACCAAGCTAAACTACCTTTGTGAACCACTTCAGACAGGAACTCTTACTGGGGATTCTAAAGGAATGGATCCTTGCATGACCAAGAGGGAGGAACGTGGCCACATATATATGGAGTCCCTGTTATATACCTGGCAATGTGTCCATAGCTTCACAAACACCTCGTCACACGATTGCTGTGAGGCTGGTGCTGTCACCACCTACACTTTACCAAGGAGAAATTGCAGTTCAGACACAGCAAGTGAGTTGATTATGATCACTTGCCCAGAGGAACTGGAAGTTAAAGACATTGTCTGACTAAATTCTAGGCATGAACCTCCTGCATGAATCTCCTTCCCTGCAGATTCTCCTGTCTCTATGGGCTACGTCCATGAGATGACAAGTGCTATCATTCATTCAGAATAACCTCAGTATTAAAACAGACTACTGGAAATGAAGATCCAACAGGAGAAACATGTGAAATCCCTTCTCCTGTTCATTTCCAAGGCTTTAACATTATCTTATGGCAGCAATTCTCAAGCTGTTTGGTCCCAGGACCCCTTTATATTCTTAAAAATGAATGAGGCCCCCCAAAAAACTTTTGATTATGTAGGTTGCATCTATTATACTTACCATATTAGAAATTAAAACTGAGAAATTGCTAAAATATATATTAATTAATCTTTAAAATAACAATAATAAACTCCCTGCACATTAACATAAATTATCTATTTTTATGGAAAATAACTACTTTCAAAAGCAAAAGAAAATAGAGAATGATACTATTCTGCATTTTTGAAGACCTCTCTGATGGCTGGCTTCTGCATTCAGTCAGTAGCTTATCACATGGCAGCCAACCCCAGGAACATTTCACTCTGCTATAAAACTGTGAGAGAAAGAGAGCAAAATAAGCACATAATGTCTTATATTATCATGAAAATAGCTTTGACCTTGAGGACCCTCTGGAAGAGTCTCAGAATCCCCCAGAGATCTCCAGACCACAGTTTGAGAACCACTGCCTTAAAGTATAATTGCTTGAATGTCCAGAATGCATTCAGAATTTGTTTATGTACCTCCTGTTTTTTCAGCCAGTTTAAGAACATCCTTCTCACCTGTAGCATTATGTGGTCCCTTAGAACAAACCCCAATCTACCTCTCGGGTGTGCAATCTTTGCAATGCTATATGTGAAAAACAAGATATAGACACTGGCTCCAGACTGACTGAAAGAGTCAAAAGTATCAGAATACATGATTTTTGTTTTCCCAGGAGACTTTCCTTCATTTCCTCTAGTAACTGGTGCAGAATGAAGCATGAGACTTTCTGGCTCTGTGATTGGTAGAAGAGATGGGCATTGGACTCAGCCCAGCCAATCAGAACTATCCCCTGAATTTTTTCACTCTACCTTGCAATTTCTTTTCCTCTGAGGTACTGGCATGTTATCCTGGATCATCAACTTTATGTTAGTGTCTTTATAAGAGACATTCCCTTGCCTGGAAATGAAGTCAGACCACCTCGGCAAACATGTCTTTAGCACCTACCATGTACCAGACACTGTACTAAGAATACAGAGATAGAAAAAGAGTCCTGACACTCAAAGAGCTCACATGTAGTAGGGATGATGAGACATAACCAGTAACTACAGTAAGATCTAGCTAGTAAGATTTATGCATCACATGGGACTTTTGCAGTATGAGTGATTTTTGAACAGCCACCCAAAACTGGCTGACACAAAAAGGAGTATTTTTGGCTCTCCTAACTGACAATTCTAACAGGATATCAACAGCATCTTTGTACTGTTTTTTTTTTTCTTTTTTCATTTACAAATGACAAAAGCCACACAGGCTCCACCAAGTCACTTAGGTACAAGGTGGTGGACTGGTAGCCTCACTCCTGTATGAATGCAGACAAGACCAGAGCCCCTGGAAAAGGAATTGGGGCAGGTGCATGGGAGGAGAAGGAAGAAGAGAGAATTCCATCAGTGTTCCAGGCTGTGGAGAATAATTCAGTCATTGTGGACTTTGGGGAGTCTCGCCAGGGACAATGAGGCATATGTTCAGCAATGAAACCTGGAGCAGAACCTCAATATTAAAAGCACCATTAGAAATCATCCTAATTGGACACAAAACTCCTTGAGAAAAATAAATGAACAAAAATCTATTTGCCTATTTCATTTCCCCTCCCCCAGCCCAGACCCATTTCTTGCCCTTCTTTAACCTTCTGTATAAAAGCTGACCTTGATCTCTGGCTTTGACTGTGTCCATCCAATAGAGGTACCAGAAGAAGATGGGAAGACTTGAGGAGAGTAAGGTAAGAGTATTAATTCCCCCTGCCCAGCCCACCCTCAGTTCCTCCCTGCCTTATCAGTGTGACAGTGCCTGCATTTCTCTACGGCCACCACCCATCTTCCATGGCTCTTATGCAGCTCTGGCAACACTGAACTCACCCCTTCAGGAATAAGGATACTAACAGTCTCCCACTGTTGCCAGGCCCTGGGTGCTTCACTATGCTTTCTTGATTCCTTAATCCTTCCCCACACCTCTGTAAATAACCCTATCTCCCCTCTCTTGAAGTATACCTTTTTGAGTGTTCTATTTCCTACTGGAAATCCTGACATTAGGCCTTCCATGGAAGGTACTGACTTACGTGGAAGGCCTTCACATCGACTCTCCATTCATAACCTCAGAACTGCCTGCTCCACATCCCAAGGTCTTGCAACCCCTGCGCTCTTTTTGTCCTCCCCTTCAGATTTGAGCCTTCCAAATAAGACCTTGTCTCCACTCCTATATTGTTACCCCCTGCTTGCAGGATCTCAGACCCCCTGAGGGAGAGTGTTCCTTTGACCCCAGGATGGCCACATGCTCCTTTTCAAGAGGCTGTTAGTTCTGGTGTCCTGACACCTG